AGCAGCTTCCAGACCTGTAGGGCAAGGAAGCTCAAAGCATTCTCAGTTGCTGGTAGATGCATGTTGTGTAGTTTATGAGTTGCTGTGCTGGATGTGTGCTGAGTTTCACCTTTTGGCTCTCTTCCTTTCCAGGTGGAGCAAACATGATCATTGCTGGTAAGTAATACATCTTCCTGAACCCCTGTACCCCACTCCTGCCTGTCTTTCTGTTGTCTCCTGTGTGTTCTGCTTGAAATAGACCTAACAGTTTTCTTCTACTGTCTGTGGTCATAGTTATATTGTTGTTGCTTCGAGATCATGCTGTGAAAAAGGGGAAGGTAAAGGGGACCAGAGAGGGAAAATATAATTGAGTATGTTTAGAGTGAAGACTGAAGCTTCTTATTTGTATCTTGTAGGAATCTTCCCCCTCCTCCTGGCAATGCTGATTATGAACATCTAGGGAATGAGTGTGGTGGGAAGGCACCCGTGGACGTGTTGGACTTGATCATGCTGATCCCAGTGCTCTGCTTTTTCCTCCTGTAAACTGGCCTCGAAGCAGTTTCAAACTGACCTCAAAACTGGCCTCAAAGCAGCTTTTGCCTCCTGTGAAACTGGCCTTGAAGCAGCAGCCAACAGCCCTTGGCTGGCAAAGCCCAGATGCTGCCCAGGAAGCACTTGCACTCCTGGATGCACCCAGAGCACATTGCATTGGATACAACAACTCCTGGGGCTGGAATGGACTGGGATAGACTGGGAAGCTCCCTGCCACGTGGCTGGAATGCTGTTCAGAAATGAAGTGCAGTTATCCCTATGTTAAGATAAAGATGCCAAAGACCTTCACACTGCAATAGAAGAGGCTGAAGAGAATCTGGTGCTTTGGGTATCTCCACATGTTGGGTTCCTCAGTCCCACTAAGGTTATGTTGTGCCTGGTCCTGGTCAGGACTCAAGAGTTTTTGGGGTGTCCTGAGGTGAAAAGTGCTGCCACTGCTGAGAGGACTAATAGTGAATGTCTCTTCATGTGAGTGATGCATCTTAAACAAACTTGACACAAGTGGGATGTGTAAGTTGGTGTTACCTGTGAGCACTGACAGCATTGAAAACCATGGAACCATTAAGGGTGGAAAAGACCTCCAAGATCGACTCCAATCTTTGACCAAACACCACCTTGTCAACTAGACCAGAGCCACATTCCTGGTTTTAACTCAGCCTGGCTAAATGATCACTTAAACTAAAGAGGTGTCATCTCATGAAATGAAGATTAGGTTTCCCGTTTGTAAGGGAAACAAAACTGTGATGGAATTTAAACTTAAGCCTGAATCCAGCTTGAGACAAGCAGATTTTCAACTGCTGGTAAAGCAAGATTTTGAGGTTTGGGGTTTTGTCTGCTGCAGAGGTAAATCACCCATCTGTGAGCTCCTCATGATGCACAGTTGGGAACAGGAAGTATCCAAAACATGTCTACTACAGACTTTTTGTTTCTCCATTTTCACCAGTGGTTTCCTGTTAACAGGAACATGTATCTGATAAGAAGGAAAAATACTAAGAGCCATTTCCATCAACATGTTAGTCTTGTTCCAAATAGACCCACAAAGTTCTCCCTTCCCAGCAGAGCACTGACAGTTCAGCTGTCACAGGGGCAACTGTGAGATCCTGATTTTGGAATTCAGCCTTGCAGAACAAGCACTTGCAGATTGTTGGTTATTTTACTTATCTTTTACCATAAGACACATGATTAAAGCCTTGTAGCCTCATACCATGAGCCTCATAGCCTTGGGTTGTATTTGGCTTTGTTATTTTAATCCCAGCACAATTGTTCCTTCTGCATAGTCCAAAGTAGTTTTTCCAAATGATTTAACAGGTGATTTGGGGATCAACTTGGAATGATCTCTCCACAACCAAATGAAAGGAATTTGTGGATGCTGTGGCTTAACTGATAGGTGTGATCACCAAAATTTACCATTGAAGAGGGTTTGTCTATGGTGTTTGTGATTGAGTTGTACATAATTTTACTTATAATCTGAGAATGAATGACCAAATCCAATTTGGACATGTAAATATTGGAAGCTCTGTCAATAAAAGGGATAACAAGACTTAAGTAACTCATGTCTTGCTGTTTGTTTTAGGTTCAGAAAGTGTCAGCCTGGAGACTGCTCTGGCTGCTCCTGCATCAGAAAGTCCTGTCTGGAGGTTTTTATTCTTCCAGCCAGTGGTGAGCAATGACACTGGTTTGGAGCAGCCCTAGAGCAGCCCAAGTTGGGTCAGGAGGATTCAGATCCACAGTTGCCACTGGTCCTATGTGTGTAGAAGCAGGGAATGCCTTGCTCTGCCCTTCCTGTCACAGACACCCTAGGGTCCCAGGGACCCATCCTTCCCTGCAAAACCAGCAGCAGAAGCAGCATGGGGCACCTGCAACCTCCCTGGGGGTGGTGGCTGTGCCTGCCCTGTGCTGGGGAGCCCATGGGTTCCTGTCCTGTGGCTCTGGGAAGTCCCACAGCTGCAGTTCCTTCCGCACATGGAAGGTGTGGGGGGGAACTGGGATGTCCATATCTTCCCACTGCCCCCCAGGAGCTTCAGTCTGTGCTGGGGCTCGGAGCATGGTGCTCACCTTCACCCTCTGCCTCCTGGGCAGCTTCACTCTGATCCTGACCACTGCAGCTAGGGTTCAAGGTAAGGGAGCTGCACCTTTGGGGGCATTCATCCCTTGACCCTCCTCTCCCTCATCACTGCTCCTCTCCTTGCTGATCCTTTTCCTTTTCCCTGTGGAGGAAGATAGGAGCCCTGTGCTGGTCCCAGATGGGTTTCAGCACACCAGACCTTGAGCATCAGAGAGCCTCTGATAGCCTTGGAGCCACACTTCAGTGGCCAGGGGAGTAGGAGTTGTAACCTTGCAAGGGGAGGCTGTGGAGGGTCTTTCACGACCTGCCCAACTTCTTGGAACAAGGGGCTTGACCCATATGTTCACACTACCAAAATAAACCTGCTTATGGCTGCAGCATCTTCCAGCAGCGAGTTAAAGAGCTTGTTCCAAGAAAAGATTGCTTATGGCTGCAGCATCTTCCAGCAGCGCGTTAAAGAGCTTGTTCCAAGAACAGATTTTGTTTGAGCTCTGTCAAGTTGGAATTTGCTGTGACAAAGAGAAATGCATTGGGATGAGGCAGGAGGGTAAACTGGCAAACTGGACTATGCTGGGCAACCTGTTTGGTCTGAAAGCCTGGCACGTAGCCTGAAGTGCTCCCTGATTTGCAACAGGGTGGACAAACCCCACAGAAACTCAGCTCCATCACTGCAGTAAGGGTCTGTTTTCCTGTTTCCATCCTGTAACCGTAAGTGCTGTCACCTGGTTGCCCTGGCAGGGTTTGAGAAGTGTTTTGGTACTGTAAGGAGCAGAATTCTGCCATACCCTCAATCATGCCAATTAGTCACTGGCATCTTGAGGGACCAAGGCTGACCCTCCTGCCTTAGCTGCAGTGGCTCAGTGGCAAGCTGGGAGTCAGGTATCAGTGGCTTCAAAGGCTTGGGTTATGTTCAAAAAAATATCTAAAATAAAAGGTTAAGGTGTATTTTCTCCTGTTATACTTCGTTATCTCGTTATTGCCAGGGAGAAGTATTTCCTTTACGTTCTTTGTGCATTCCTGTAGCTAGAGCAAGTATTTGCAGAGTTAACAAAAAGCTACTTCCTTGTGGTTTTCATTCTGGATGTCTGCCTGCCTCTCTGCATGTCTGCCTCTCCCTCTCTCCAGGAGTTCAGTGTAAACAGCCCCCAGGTACCCCTGGACACCAGCAGCTCAGAGACAGGTCCCCTGTAAGGTGCAGTAGCACTTTCACCTGTGCTGGCACAGGTGTGACCCCACACCATCACAGTGATGCTGTGGACAGTGTGTCACAGCACCCCCAGCCCACACTGTGCACCTCTGCCCAGCTCTCTGGCATGGCCACGTGCTCCTGGTAGCACAGAGCCCTAGGCTGCAGTTAGATTGGTCCTGGACAGTCCTGCCAGAGTTTCCTTGGGTTGGATCAGATCCAGAGGATGGGCTTCATGGGTAGAAGCCTGCAGGAAGGCTAGGACAGCCTCTTGACCTCACCAGGTGGTTGATTTGAAAGCCTGAACACACAGTTCTTTGCAGCTGAGATCTCCCAGAAGCACAGGGAAGGGTCCTGCAGCCCCAGGAGCACCTGCTGCAGCTTCTGCCACATTCCATTGCTCAGGGATCAACACAGCAGCTATCACAGTCACACTTGAGAGCTGCATAGGTAAACAACCTCTTATTTCTCTCCCTTTTCCAGTTCCTATATGCCCATTCCCACGTGTCCGGTATGGCACGAGAGTATTTGCTGCTCAGCGTAACTACAGGGCTGGGGACACCGTAAGCTTCACCTGCAACATGGGCTACACCTTGCAGGGCTCCAGCACAAGCACCTGTGGAGCTGACTCCAGATGGAACCCACGACTGCCACTGTGCAAAAAGGGTAAGTGACCCAGCGTGGTGTGAGCAGTGATGGCCACGGGGGAAAGCTCCCTCTTGTGTCCTCTTAAATTCAGTGGGAAAGCAAAGCTGGGATGGATCTCTCCTCCTCACTTCTCTGCTCCAACCAAAGTGCTGCTAGCTTGGCTTGGAGAGAGACAGAAACAGCTCTGATGAAATGAAGTGAGGTGGGACACGGGGATGGATGTGCCTGCACTGTCTTGGGCTCTGAGAGGGATGGGGAGAAGTTAACCCTGGGGCTGAGCTGGGACCTCCCAGCACAACCTGGAGCTGTAGACCAGCTGTGGGATGGCAGTATCTGCTGCCCCAGGGGATTTCTGTCACTCTGCTTCTGCTCAGATGTGGGGCATTTCCATCTTACTCAGGGAATAGGAAGCAATCAAACTTCTCTCTGTTCTTGCTGCTTCCATGTCCATGTGCATTTCTGCCAAATCCCATGATGTGCCTGTCAGTTCTCCTGTTGGGATTGTCATGACTGCTAGTATGACTGTAGTGTGATTGTAAAATTAGTGCAGCTGCACCTTCAGCTAACTAAAACTTCTGTCCAGCAAATGGAAAAAAAGACTGTGTTCAATTTAGGATTTTACCCTGACATTACCCAAGCAGTCCTAGTAGCACATTCAACAGCAAACAGCTGATCCACAGGACAATTCATTTCCCTCTCCAGAGCCAACGCTGCTAGTATGACTGTAGTGTGATTGTAAAATTAGTGCAGCTGCACCTTCAGCTAACTAAAACTTCTGTCCAGCAAATGGAAAAAAAGACTGTGTTCAATTTAGGATTTTACCCTGACATTACCCAAGCAGTCCTAGTAGCACATTCAACAGCAAACAGCTGATCCACAGGACAATTCATTTCCCTCTCCAGAGCCAACGTGTCCCACCAAGCAAAGCATTGCCAATGGGCAGCACAGTGGACAGTCCTTGGAGAAGTTTTCCCGGGGAGTGACTGTGTCCTACAGCTGCAA